CCCTTTAGGTTGTCCTATAGTTTTTTTCAATTTTCAGGAGGGAGCTCCTGCATTTCCATAGCGGAAATCAGGCTTGTTCCAATAGAATATAGCCAGGCGGCTCTGCTGCAACCAGTCAGGAGAAGTTTAATAAAGAGCCTTCAATTTTTAAAAAGGTTTGCTATTCTATCTCAAGGATAGTTAATTAAACAATAGTCAGGTTTCAGCACAGGAATTCACTAGTTCTAAAAAACTTAAAAAAAAAAACCCACCACCACCCAAAAACAAAAAAAGAAAACAAAAACTGAAGCAAGGGTAGGTTAGTCTCCTTTGGAAAGACAAAAACCTAGTTTTGGGTTGGGAGCTCACCCCAGGGACAAAGAGGCTTCTGGAGGAGCTAGAGGAAAGGTTGGATGCCCCTGTTCTGGTTTCTTCAGAGTCCAGCAGGCTTTCTGAGGAGGAACAGGAGGGGAGGCTTGAGGTGGTGCAAGTGGAAGAGATAGCTATCTCAACTCTTTTCCCCTCAGGCATCTCTTCCTGTCCCCCCAAGACATGAGGTGTCTGCCCCAAGCTCGTCACAGGAGGCGGGTCCAGGGGTGCCTGCAGCTGGTCAGCATGGGTGCCCCTACACCTCTGAAGTCTGGAAGCACTTTCTGCTGATGGAGGATACCCGTTTTATACAGTGCCAGCTGTGTAGAGGGCCCAGATCAGTTGCAGGAGAGACCTCAATCATCTCACGACTACCGGGTTTGCAAAACCATCTGAAGAAGCACCGCCAGGCAGTGCTTCTTGGGGGGGGGGGGAGGCTGCTGCTGAGGTGCCCAAGCAGCCACCACCAGCCAGCCAGGGGATGAGTCGTCTTGTGACTACCTCCAGTGCTGTCCCTGAATGTTCCATGGTAGGGAAGGAATGCCAAGCATCTCTGACAGAAATGCTTGGTGAGGTTGGCACTAAGGTGCCTGGGGGGGAGGGGAACAGCAGGCAAGTAAGAGGGTCACTTGCTTCTTTGCCAAAACAGTTGCTAATGGTCACCCCTTATCCTTGGTTAAAGACGCTGCTTTCCGCAGACTGCTCCAGGATGCCTATCCCTGGTACACACACCCTGCTGGCATCATGCTGAGCAGGACCATGTTGCCCTCATTGTGCAGGGCTGCGAGGGACCGTGTGAAGGCACAGTTGTCCTGCACTCATGGAAGAACTGTGCACTTCACATCTGACATCGGGATTTCCCCTCAGGCACACGATGCGTAACTCTAGCTGACTGCACACTGGTGGCAACTTAGAGATGTTGTGGGTGGGGGTGGGGAAAACAGTGTTAGGCAGGGTCTGGGCCACCAGGCCGGCTACTGCCAGGTTCTGTTACATGCCAAGGTACTCTATGGAGCACACACAGCACACAACATATCAACCAGCAACGAGAAATAGTGGCATGGGTAGGCAAGGACTTCTCCATGGGCTTCATGGTGACTGATGGTGGCGTGAACATGAGGGCAGTGGCACAGGCATTGGGCCTCAGGCACATTTACTGCACAGTGCACCTTCTCTACCTGGTGGTTAAAGATGCCATTTTGATTGAACCTATGGGTCCCTAAAATGTTAAAGTTTTATCTCCTCTGGACTGGCCATCAACAGCTCCTTGTGAGACCACAGTGACCAGTCCAGAGCACTCTGAGTTTCACAGAAGTGCACTACTGTACACAGTACTCCAAATGAGGTCGCATCATCGATTTATACAGGGGCATTATGATATTGGCTGATTTGTTTTCAATTCTTTTCCTAATCATCCCGAGCATAGCGTTGGCCTTTTTTATTGCAGTCGCACACTGTCTCGACATTTTCATTATCTACTACGACTCCAAGATCTCTCACTTGGTCAGTCTCTGCCAGTTCAGATGTGTATTTACAGTTAGGATTTTTGGCTCCAATGTGCATCTGTGCACATTGAACCCTTGGCCACATTAAACCCTTTGGAGTGCTTCACAATCCTCCCTGGTTCTCACCACTCTGAACAACTTCATGTCATCTGCAAATTTAGCCACTTCACTGCATACTCCCAACTCCAAACCATTAATGAACAAGTTAAAAAGCATCGGACTGAGTACTGATCCCTGTGGTACCCCACTACTTACTACCCTCCACTGAGAAAATTGCCCATTTATACTCACTCTCTGTTTCCTATTAATTAGCCAGTTTTTGATTCACAAGAGGACTTGTCCTTTTATCTCGTGACTTAGGGGCATTTGATAAGGAACTTTATCAAAAGCTTTCTGGAAGTCAAGGTAAACAACATCTATTGGATCCCCCTTGTCCACATGTTTGTTCACCCCTCAAAGAACACTAACAGGTTAGTGAGACAAGACCTTCCCTTACAGAACCCATGCTGAGACTGCCTCAATAGTTTTTGTTCATCAATATGCCTACGGATGGGAGTGAAATTTGCTACCTTCCAGTCCTCAGGAATGGAGGCAGATTTTAATGAAAGATTCTTTTTGTCAGGAGAGCCACAAGGCCACATTTGAGTTCTTTCAGAACTCCCAGATGTATTCCATCTGGGCCTGGTGATTTATTAGTTTTTAAGTTGTCTATCAGTTGTAGGACCTCCTCTCCCATCACCTCAATCTGACTCGGGTCTTTCAACATCCCTCCCAAAATCAGCGGTTCTGGAGTAGGCAAGCACTTCTCACCTTCCACAGTGAAGACAGAGGCAAAAAATGCATTCAGCTTCTCAGCCATTTCCCTATCATCCTTCAGTACTCCTTTTACTCCTTGGACATCCAAGGGCCCCACTGCCTCCCTGGCTGGTTTTCTGCTTCTAATGTATTTGAAGAAAGTTTTATTGTTGGTCTTTATGTTTTTTTATATGCTCCTCATATTCCCTTTTTGCCTGCCTGATCACAGGCTTGCATTTTATTTGCCATAGCCTGTGTTCTGTTTTATCAGCCTCACTGAGACTAGCTTTCCACTGTTTAAAGGAATCCTTCTTACCTTTTACAGCTTCCATTACTTTGTTTGTTAACCATGCAGGCTTTTTTCTATACCTATTTGTGCCTTTCCTAACCTGTGGTATATATTTTTCCTGAGCTTCTAGGATTGTAGTTTTAAATAGTCTCCAAGCTTCCCCAATGGTTTAGACCCTACTTTTCCTTTCAGTTTCTTCCTCATATGTCCCCTCATATCAGAGAAGTTACCCCTTTTAAAGTTAAAAGTGGTTGTGTTTTTGGGCAACTCCCTATTTATACAAATGTTAAACTCAATAACATTATGGTCACTGTTCCCAAGCGGTGCTATCACTTTTACATCTCTCACCAGTTCTTGGGCATTACTTAGGACCAAATCCAGACTCTCCCCTGGTAGAATGACAGAACAAACTCCCAGTATTAAGCTTCCTTTTGGGCCCACTGTTTCAACCCATAGCATTTGGGTTGCTTGACATCAGTCCTGTTGAGCTGGTATTTGCCACAACAGCACTGAGTTCTGCTGCTGGGCATTAGTAGGTTGGCAGTGGGTTCTGCTGCTGGGCACTAGTACATTGCACTGTTTCTGCTGTCCTTGCAGAAATGTCCCCCTCAGTTTGTACTTCAGAGACACTCAGATTTGACATTAGTCCTTTTGGGGGTTTTGGGGCATTGCCACAGTGGCACTGGTTTTGCTGGGCATGTTGCACTGGTTCTGCTGCTGGACTTGTGAGCATCCCCCCCTTCACTTTCTACTTCAGAGATTCTTGGGGACATTTTGCTGGGCTTGTATTGTCTTGCTATTTCCTCCCACTGGAAAAAATGGAGGATGGGGGCTGGCTGCTTCTTTGGGTGCTCACAGAATTGGATTCCCTGGTCCAATCTTTTTGAAACTTGGGGGTTCTTTTGAGGAGAGGCTCCAGCAGTTATGCTGCAAATTTGATGCCTCTACCTCAACCTCCCTCTGACCACTGAATACACCCCAGGAGATTTTCCATTGACTTCAATGGTCTCTATAGGTTATAGTGGATTCCTGAATATTTAGTGAATCTGAATATCATATTGATATTGGGATTCGGGAATATCAGGAAATACTGATGTTTTTCGGGTCCAATATATCTGAATCTGGGGGGAAAACAATTTTTTTTCTTGCACACCCCTATTATGGCCCATCTCATTCTTCCCATCCCAGCTATTCAGGTGCTCTTTAAAAATCCTTCTGAAATCTCTTCACAGTTTACCCACATATAATCTACTTTGGCCTAACTCAGAATAGATAGAAAAGCTTTAATATACAAGCCTAGATGATTGTATATATTCTGAATTGTAACCAGTACAAGCCACAAAACAGGCAGGTGGGTAAGAGTCCAGTAACATGTTCTACAAAGGGGAAAAATTATCTTGGAGTGCAGATAGCGCCTTAATCATACATGAGAACCTCGTGTGTACCAAACAGGCACCCCCACCCATGAAAAGGAATGGCTGAGATTTGTCATACAAATATTCCCTTATTGGCAGAGCTCAATTCATATGAAGAAATGGTGAATAGAATGCATGCACTGCAATCATGACTGTTTCTCTGCTAAGTCTAGTGGATATTTAGTGGCTGATTATAGTGAGTATGTGAAAAAACCCACAATCCACACAAACAAAGCTTCGCCAGCCATTCTCATTGCATAGCATGCGAACTTTTGGTTGACACTAACTTTTGAAAGAAATTCAAGCAATTGAGTTTGTTCTTCTGTTCTTGCTCTAATCACCATCAACATATACTTTGCTGGAGCCTGTGTATTTTTTTCCCCTGAGTGACGACCAAGCCAGTGGGATAAGTAGAGGCTAATGCTGTGGAATACTCCTTGGATAATAGGAGTAACAGTGTTTGGATAAGAGCTAATCAAAGTCTAAGATGTTCATAACAGAAAACACTTTCACCTTTACTGATGGCCTCAGTGGTATATATGAAGACAAAACCATAAAATTATGTACATAAGCAAGAAATGGAAGAACAGAGCAGAATAAAATCCAATGTATTTAACACTTTCATAAAGAATCCAAAGGATGTCTTACTTTTGAAGGTGATCCTTCTGTGATCTTCACCAGCTGCCAAAGAATAGAATAGTGGGAACACTGAAGAGCCTGAACTACTATCTAAAAAAAAGAAAAAGAAATATGTATGAAGACATTAAGGGCAAGGTTTATATAATTTTGAACATTTATAAATAATGTTGGGAGAAAAACAGCAACTTGTGTAACATTTTTCTAGCAGTAAGTTTTTATAAAATACGTGTTTGGGCAAAAATGGGTAAAATCTTGAAAAAAGGGAAAAAAACTCAAATGGAGAGACATCCTTCACAGTTGGGTAAAGCAAGGAGTAATGAAACCTAAAAAAGGATATAAACATTAACAAAGATCTAAGCATTACTGACATACAAACTAGTTTTGGCCAGTAAATTCCCAAACTAGAATCAATATAGTCTGATAATTGCCAGGGCACAATTTTACTGACACCACAAGTAACCTCAAGGAGACATCACAGAATTATAAGAAATCATAAAGAAGTTTAAGGCATTGGATTGCGAAGCACTGCTAAATCCTATGGTCAAACCAACTATTATCAGCTCAGCAGAGAGAAATACAAATAATAATAAGCCATAAGCACTTCTCAGAACTTCCAATTAAACATGCTACAACTAACAGAGGTAAAATCTGCATTAGAATCCCACCTACAGGCATTAATCCTCTGTGCTTTAGAAGTCCATCAAAAGTGTTTTAGAGCACATAATCTTTTTTTTCCTGTATAGAAATGGTATTTTTCACTCACTGCTTTTTATTTTTGTTATCAATTTGAAAATGCTGGCCACACTCTTGAGTCAGTACATGCAAAAGATCTCCTAAGTATACTTGAAGTTTTCCTAGAAAACTTATGAAGTTTCCAATATGATTCATTTATATGTAAGCCAACAAATGGCTCACACTTGGCTCTTCTCATAAACCATACTAGGATAGATTATGAAGAAAGTCCAGATTTATGTACTTGACAGATGTATCTTGGATTGGCAGCTGTGTTTTCTATTTTATAAAGCAGAAGTCTAATTATTTGGAAAACAAACTAAAGTCCATAAATTCCCAATCATATTGGGTGGTAGGACTGTGGATCATCCCCATCTTCTCCACCCTTTGCTGACCCTGGGAAAGTTTACTGCTGGGGCTGAGGGAATTGCATGGACAATAGCTGTGCAGGTCAGACAGCTGCAATTGTAAGGGGGTGAAATCGTTCCTTTTTTCCTTATGAGCAGAGCTCTGCTCATGCAAGGGGCAGAAAGGGTGAGTGAGCATGTTCCTTTTCCACTCCTCCCTATGGCTGCCCAACTGGCACAGCTATTAATAGACAGAAGTCCCTCAATTCTAGCAATAAACTTTCATGGGATCAGAAAGGGCCACATGGGGGAGGGGAAGATCTTGGACCATCAGCTCTTTCCACCGGTGGTTCACGGTATCCAAGCCACTCTTTAGAGGGCTGAATCCAATGCTTGTTTTCCACTTCAGGGAGGCAGGTGTAAAATTCCCCCCATCCCACTGCAGACCACCACACTGGATTGCAGTGTTTCTGAAAAATTCCAAGTACAGTTGGGGAGAGTGGTAGACTGCAGCAGGAGTGAAGAAATTCTGCTCCACAGGTGCAACTCAACTTCCAGTTTGTTGGATACATTACAATATTGTTTTGGTCAACTAAATCAATTACTGCTCAACTAAACCAATTAAGCAGAAGAAAGATATTTGCAACATCAATAATACAATTTGGCTTTTTATCCTACATTGTGTTACAGGTCTGAGGGAAAACAGATGCACAGTACCTATTCATGTAATAGTTGGCCCCATATTTAAACATCATACCATGTTCCCTGTTCTAAACACACCTTTGTATTCCTGGATTTTTGCCTGATGTCCTTCCTGTGTAGAGACAGTCTCTATCAGTTACAATTTCTTCCCTTTAATAGCACAATTTGTGCATTTTGAAAAGCAGCATATTGTAATTGATTTACCTAGAAGCAATTTTGAATTTACATTTTGATATACTTTTATTCTGTTTTCACAAGACTGTCACTTAGCTTTTTCCCTACTGGTATAACCTGCTTTCAGTACAGGGTGAAAAGGTTATCCCCAGGCTTGCAGAAAAGTACTTCCTCATGGGAGCCTTTAATGGCTTTAGATATATAAGTAAATGATGAAATTAAAAAAGATATGCCAAAGACCTCAATTTGCTTCAACACCATTGTATCTACAAAGATCACTATAAGATGTATTTCTCTTTATACCCTGATATAATGACTCAGAACTCTCTTTTTATAAAATGGAAAGTTCAAATCACTAAATGGATTATATATACACATGGCTATTATTACCTGTTCTGGCATAGCTCCATGTTCAATTCCTGTCCTCAGTAATCTGTAGCAGTTACTAAACAAATCCCATTTTGTAAGGTCATGAGCACTGAAACAAATGTAAAAAGATATTAGATGTCATTCAAAATAAATTATTAACAAAAAGTTGGTTCATTACCACAATGAATAAAATCACTGATGTTACTAAGTAGATAATTCAGCTGCATATAAGGTTGGGATCAAGTATTTCTATCAGTGGGCTTTCTCCCTGCCCCACAGCCCAAAATGCCTACCTAAACTGCTGCTGGAACTCAGGGGATCCCCCCCCCCCATCAGCAAAAACTGCCTTCCCTTCTGCCTGCAGAAATCCTCCACTGGATCCAACTCTGTATCTCTAGTTAAAATGCAGAGGATGTACTTTAACATTTGATTTATTGTACTTAAAAATGCTAGCCCAAATTTAAATCAGAGCTTGGTCAATACTATTATGGGGAACCTGTCACATTGAAATTGCATCCCAGATTCTATAATAAAGGTGCTGTTTCACCAAGACAGCATTTGGAACTGTATCATAAACTTGGGTACAAATGGAACACACAGGACCTGATAAATCTGGTGATAGTATAACTAAACAAGTTTTCCTTTGCAGACACATACACCCTAAGTTATACAGAGAAAGCCTAAAAATTATTACATTTAATTCTTTATATAGTTCTTCTGTATGAAGAACAATATGAAACACGAGTTCTTGAAATGTCAAATGCATGAGAGGCTGAAAGTCCTGCTCAGCAGTTTATTTTGGAAATGTTTTATTTGCATGGTATTTATTCAGCTAGAGGACTGAGGCTGTGTCTAAGACCAACTTTTAACTTTATGGCCAAGTGAGATATAAACCAGGGATAGCTTGGTTTATTGTATGTACTCTTAGCAATTGTACTAATTCTGATACACATTTTTAAAGTTGACTATTGGTGTAAAGTTGCTGCTATGGAGTTGAAATAGGGTCTTGAGGTAGTTCTTGACTCTGGCCCCAAGTCAGGCCAAGCAACAGTTATGACCAGTAACAGCAGCCATTATTTCACATTAAACCAAGCTATCCCTGGACCAAAGGGCAACACTGAAAACAAAGCAGTACTCGGTTGTTACCTAGAGCAAATTGAAAAAACAAGGGAAACACACAAAGGAAAGACTAATTTCAGTATCTGTGATCTATAGAAAGTGGTACCCACACAAATATGATACCCCCCACCCACAAATACTGATACAAAAGGACAGAGTAGGATTGCTTAGTATCTTAGATGATGAACTGAGAGCACATTCTTGGAGTCCAAGATGTAATCTTTATTCAAGTCATAGGAGATCACACAGAAATAGGTACCCAAGATTAGTTTCAATAGGAACCTTGAAAGCTTCACATAAACTCTTAAGAACCCTTTCCACATCTAGATGGAGCTTTCCATTTGGGTGGACAAACCGTGGCCAGAAATTTGGAGGAACTGTTTCCTAATTGCAATAAAAAACAGAGTTGATTTTGGGAATATATAGTAATTGCATAAAATACCTAGTTCTTTGCTCATGGAGAGATGTGATATTTATTAAAAAACCACCTTCCATGTAAGGCAACCAATGGAAAGGTTGAGGCCGAGGACATGGTGAGAGCATGACATTGGCCATGTTTCTTTGTCTCTTCTAAGAAAAACCTGGAAGTGACATAGGCTAGCTCCAGGAATCACTGGAAACTCTATGGTAAAACTATGGAGTTTCTGGCAATTCCTACAGCTCCCCTACATCACTTCCAGGTTTTCTTTGGAAGTGACATGGTGATGCAGTTGTTGTTGCCATATTATTCCCACGGCTGCTCAGAGCACTGGCAGGCAACTATCCTCACAGCCAAAGGTTTTCTGAAAAAGGTCTCTGGTCTCAAACAATGTGATCTGGGGAAAGCTTTGTCAGTGTGTTTAAAAAGGAATTTTCTGATAAATTAATCATCAACAGATTTAAGTGATAACTGGATAGATGTACATCTACTGACTGACTGTGTCACTGGACTCAAACTTCATTCTCACCTCTGTTTGTTAACTCTTGTATTTCCTGGCAATTTGTATGCTAATTTACTGCCATTCACAGATCGCACCAACTGCCTTAATCCAATCTCAGCTATAATCACCATCTTCCTTATGCATCCTGAGTCTAACTAGCCCTTCTGGGCAACTAATGGTTGAGGAAATTCTGTATCATGGTATCTGAGAAAGTGTTCTTGCACAAGAAAGCTTACATCCTGAATAAAAACTCTGTTGGTCTTAAAGGTGCCACTGGACTCAAACTTTGTTCTGCTGCTTCAGACCAACATAGCTACCTGCCTGAATGTGTCACACACAGTTGACAGTGGTGTCAACACAAGATCTGTCTTATTGGTGGGTAGCAAAAACTAATAGTTGTACTGTAGCCAATGTTAGTCACATTGTACAAGATAGTGCAGTCATTGGCTGCCTCAGATAAGACAAGAACTGGTATTAAAGTAATAGTTAACAGCTGTTGAGCACATAGTGGAACTGGAATCAGAGCTGGTGGTAAAGAGGAGCCAGACATCCTGTATGGTTGCTAAAACAAGGAAGGAACTGGACCCCGAAAAAAAGTTTTGGATCTCTTAGAACTGATATTGCCTGAACTGAAATGTAAGGCTGGCATGGGTTTGAAGAGTATAAGCTAATGTACCGGAAAACATCATTGGGGTGATGGGGAAGCTGAAAAGTAACATTTGTGTCTATTATTTTGCTGAAAATATGGGGGTGCATTTTGATGTCTCAGTGGCTACCATCTTTGGGGATTGAGAGAACTATTTCAACCTCTTTTGTGTGTAGTTACTCAAAGAACTTCTATGTCCCTCAGGATCACAGAGATTTCCCCCCCAAAGCAGAAAGTCATTGTAATAATCAGAACAGAGGCTCAGTTGGTGACACAGTAATCATCTGTGGGGATCAAACAGATGAATATATAGAGAAAGGTGGAGTCTCTAACTGAGGGCACCGGAATATAGGATGCCACACTGCCCATTGTGAGAGATGCTGTCAAGGAAACAAGAGGTTAGACCCTGGGGGTTCCCAAGGTGAGTGCACACAAGAACCAGACTGTTTATAAAATAATATTAAGTTTATTCAAAAGTATTAAGAAGGAGCAAACACATTACTCAGAAATCACACAGAACAAAAAACAACAAAGCTAGCTTCACTACCTAACACTGTTCAGAGCGGCGTTAAGTGGCACAAACCTCAGTTTCAATAGGAAGGCTGTGAATCAGCGTTGTCTACATCTTTAGAAATTGCAGGGCATAGTGCAGGCCTATAGTCCATGAAAATCTCAGCTAGCTACCCCCTCGGGCCACAATTGAATTACAGCTTTTGGCCCAGCATGTCAGGTGATAGTGATACCCAATCACAATGTGTCTCCAAGAAAAACCTCTGGAAGATGAAATCACTTCCCTCAATCTCCCCCCTCCCATCACAGATCACAGGTTTCCATGAGAAACCATCCCAATTAACCATCCTCCATCTTTGACCTTGAGGACAATAAGGAGCCTGCAGGCCAGAGAGCCAGTTAACAATACCTGCAAGTCAGCCCACGTCTAACAGTGTTCACATTAACCCTTGGTGGGGGTGGGGGTAGGAAAGGCGCTTTGCTTCACAGATGTGCATTGTTTATTTAATTTAAATTAATTATACCCCACCTTTCCTTCCAATATGAACCCAAAGTACCTTATATCATTCTCCTTTCTTCCATTTTAACCTCACAACAACCCTATAAGGTAGATTAGGCTGAGACAGTGTGACTGGCACACCCAGCAAGCTTCAACGGCATGATTGGGGATATGAACCTGGGTCCAATGTTCCCTTTAAGCTGAGTTAGTGTGAGCTAGCTCACAGTTTTTTAGCCTCCGGCTCGCACATTTTTGTCTTAGCTTAGGAAGGATGGCTCCAGAGCAAACTAATTTATGCAGTAGCTAAATCACCTGCTTATAACTTTAGTGTCAGCAGCTCAGAAAGTAGAATTTTTGCTCACAGGACTCCACAGCTTAGAGGGAGCATTGCCTGGGTCTCCCAGTTCCTAGTCTAACAATTTAAACCACTACACCACATTGGAAGGCATCCTGAAAACACTGAAGGATAGAGTTCCATTATGGTCAGGAAATCTGAGTTGCATATGGTGGCTACAGAAGAGGAAATAATTGAGACCATTACCACTTCAGAGAATGTATCTGTCTAAAGCTATCTTTTTGTCCCTGGCCCATGCAGATTCTGGTTCATTTGAATTCTTGTGATGTTTTGTTTGGTTTTGAGACCACTTGGGATATAAAGATGGACAGTGTTCCTCACCCTTCCATCCCAGGAAATGAGATTCAAAGTGAAGGTACAGAAGATAATTCCCAAACCACAGATTTGGATACTGGGGGGGAAAGATTAATGCCCTATCAACAGAGTCAAATGGGACACAACAGGCCATAGTAACTTCTCAGAAAATAAGGTATGTAGTCTAGAATAGATTCCTCTGTGCTTGTTTCATAAATATTGAATGAGGGAAGGATTAAACTTTGTGACCTTCCTCCAAACAAAACAGACAAAATAATGGCCAACAAAAACTAGGAGGGTTTGTGTGGCTGTGGTACTTTTAAAAGCTGGGCTGTTTTTCGCAAGTTCCTATATATAATGGGAAAAGTAAGAAGGAGGTGGGGAAGGAAAAATCATAACAAGTATCATTTTGATGGGCGTAAGAGGACAGAATAAGGGCTACAATTAAGAAAAAGAGCAAAAAACTCCCTAGAGATCCCTAGAGAACTGACTTGGAGAAGCTAGTGATATAGGGGTCCGAAGAAAACTGAGTCGAAGGAGGAGGAGGAGATTGGATTTATACCCCGCCCTTCACTCAGAGTCTCAGAGCGGCTTACAAACTCCTTTTCTTTCCCTTCCCCACAACAGACACCCTGTGAGGTAGGTGGGGCTGAGAGAGCTCTGAGAGAAACTGCTCTTTTCAAGAAAACCCCTAAAAGAACTATGGCTTGCCCAAGGTCATCCAGCCAGGTGCAAGTGGAGGAGTGGGGAATCAAACCCGGTTCTC